CTACACACTTGAAAAGCCTTTGGACTGTGTCCAATAGATGATTTTCTTAAAACTTTTGAATGACATTACTGTACTAAAGTATATGCAGTATTACTTCTTAACAAAGATTAGTTACTGCATTGTTGGTTATTGTAAGCCTATCAAAAACTGAAATCTCCTGATAAGAAGAGAAAATAAAAAGACATATTCTAAATCGTTGAGAGTCTATTACAGTCAGCCTTGTAAAAGAAGCCTTTTAGTGTCACAGTCGATAATGTAAATACCAGTTACCTATGACTGAGTTAAAATGATGTCATGACCTGGCAATTTCTATTTAGTGCTGACACATCCATGTAAAGCACAGCTCAGAATTGCCTGCATGTAAATATAATAGGATTCTTTCTTTTGTTTATTTGATCTTTTGAGAACTGTCATTCAGGAAACTTGGGAGAACCAGGGTGGTAGGGGAGGTCCATGGATAGCTTGGAAAGCTACATTTTTTAAAATTTATTTTTTAATGCAAATTACACTAGTTAGTCCCCAAAAAAAATCACTTTTGTTAAAAATACATTCAGAATAAACAAATGAGTATAAGAAAAGAAAAGACATTTGGATTGTTAACACTTGCTTTCTGAATACTTGGATTTATAACAAGAAAACAAAACAAAAAATCCCAGTCTAGAAAAATAACATTCTTCACTAGATTTTGAGGAGGATACAGCTGTACAATTCAACAATATTTCAGATATTCTCACACTACTGTGCTCTAAACTCTCTTCATGGCAGATGTGTCCACTAATTTATACACTATGGTAGTCAACAGTCCTGAATTTTTTTGGTGGTTGTGATGTTAGTTGCAGTGTAATCAAGTTTGAGGGCCTAATACTGACATAGTGTGTGTCTGCATTGAGATGCTGCCAGACCATCTTTTTTGGAATACTCATTTTAGAATCTCAACATTCTTACAGTTTGCTCAGAGGTTTCAGGATGAATGCTGTGGATTCCAGCCTTCTCCTCCTCTGTGCCATCCTTTTCTCTCTCACAACAGAACCATAAATTCATGAATGTGCCCAGGAAGAAAACAATTGCTGCATTCTTCAGCGATTTCTCCTTCTTAACTCAGGCAACACTGGCCCCAGACATATCTGCTATCTAGTGTTGCCACTTACCCAGTAATGGTGAGGGACCTCCCACTGATACTCTCTGTCCCCCACTCTTCCTCAATGGTGGGCGGTGGTAATAAGGAGAATGGAGAAGGAAAACAGCACATGCAGATCTCTTCCTGTTTCAGAACAGGAAGTGGTGTCATGATCAAAAATAACTCTTTTTTGCACAACAGACATAGCTATTCCCCATTCTTACCAGCTACTCTTCAACCCATGATTTTGCTTGAGACTCACTGGTTACACTAAAAAAGTTGCTACCAAGGTAGTACAGCTGTGAGCAAGCTTGCACTCTTATGTAGTTGCATATGACAGTACAAAAGTTATTGCACCTCTTATGGGCATCCTTGATTCTTATGGGTATCCAAGGGAACTAGGAAACATACTTCTCTCTCCCAACATACTTTTCTCTCATACCTGATGTAACTAATACTTTTCTAATACACAAGCATATCACTGGGCTGACATTCCAAGTAAGGCCCACTATATACATTTTACAACTTCTTGCACCAGCTGCCTGAAAGAGAGGGTATGTTCCAGAGTATGGAATATGATGTGAACTGATGCCAACTTGCTGGCTAGCCATATTAATTTATTCAGCATTGACTCATAAGCCTCATAAACATTTGGTGATATGTAATGAGGGAAGCCAGATACTGAAATTGCCCTGCATAAAGGATTATATGAACAACAGAAATACACACACAAATTGTTATCTCCCTTATAAATAAAAGCCGAATGGTGGTGGCACTTCTCTAGAACATTCCACACGCTCCAAAATCAGTTCGCTCTCTGATCTGTCATTCAGAGGGTCTCCCTATCCACTGGCTGCTTTGTCTGAGTCCTGCCTCCAACATTTTGCTAATCCTCTCCCCCCCCCCTAGCCAGTCAGAACACAGTGGTTATTTCCATATGCAGCCTCATTGGCCTCTGCCTTGGAACACAGAGGTGGTTTGCATATGCGACTTAATTGGCTTTTGCCTCTAACATTCTAAACAGTTTTGCTGTTCTGAGGTAAAATGTGTCCAATCTCCAGGTGAGGGCTGGAGATCACTCAGAATTACAACTGCTTTCCAGATGGCAGAGATCAGTTCCCCTGGAGAAAATGGTGGGCTCTGTATCCTTATATGCTGCTGAGGTGGCCCCCCTATGACAGCCAATGTGACGTAGCAGTCAGAGCTTCAGAGCACGGGAGAGGCTGTAGGTGTGTGGGGGGTGGAAAGCTGAAGAGTGAGGGGGAAATAAAGGTAGGGTGATGATTGGCTGGGAAGGAGATATGGTTGCCAACTCCAGGTGGGAAATTCCTAGAGAGGTGAGGGATGGAGCCTGGAGAGGGTAAGGTTTCAGGAGGCGTGGGACCTCGGACAGGTACAAAGCCATAGACTCCACCCTCCAAACCAACTATTCCCTTCTGGGGAACCATCGTTGCCAATCTCCAGATGAGGGCTGGAGATCACTCAAAATTACAACTGTTCTTTAGGTAGCAGAGATCAATTCCTCTGGAGAAAATGGTGGACTCAGTGTCATTATACCCTGCTGAGGTCACCACAGCAAATTGACACTGAGTGTCCAAGGCCGGGGCACCTACCCAGAGCCTCTTTCTAGAGGCCATTGTATTTATTTCCACAACGGGTCTTTTTCCTAGTTTAACATAATTAAGCTTGTTAAATGTTTGATAAGAGTGAACCACTATAGAAGTCAGAGTAATGAATCCTCCACAAAACTGTTTCGTTAATCCTCCCCCTCCTTGATAAGTAGAGGAGATACATAAAGGCATCAAAACCCTAAACTCTGCAATCATTTACTGATTTTTCTAACATGCTTTGCCTCTTCCCCTAAATGGGGATGGAATATCAGTGAGGGATCAATGAGCAAATCCAGCACCTTCACAATCTAAATGCACACCAAAATATGGAGGCCACATCTCAAAACCTACATAGTGAAGAATTACTCCTACTTAGGTTTTCCTACTTAAATAATGATGGATAAAAGCCCCAAAGAAATGATATTAAGTACTAGGGAAGTGAAAATAGGGTTAAGATCCAATCTTCATGCTTCATAATCCAGGTTAAATCCACTAATAGTAAATGAATTTCAAGTTTATAAGAAGTTACTGCAGGCCTAAAACGATAGACCACCAAATATGAAGCATCTGCAGGGGCTATACCAGTGAGACACCATTGATCATGATGTCATTCTAGTACTGCAACAGATACAATGATGCAAATGCTGAAGATCAGGACAGTTGATCTTACAGACTGGACAGTTTTTGATATCACATGTGCTGTCTGCAAACCAGTATACCATGCCATTATACCCATGTTATTTTGTATTTCATAGTTAATTACACTCACTTCCACTTATATTGTATCATTATTTTTGCTGCTGGGACCTGACAAATGTGTTTATTTCTATAATGACTGTTCTATTGTCATCAAGATTTATTTCTGTGATATATTATACCCATGCAGAGACACCAAAATTGGGGAGGGAGGAGGTGGACTAATTGAATGGACATAGTTATCATGATGCGTTTTATAGGCCACACAGAACACACACACTTGGCAAGCACAGAAAAGAGTTGCTTGACAAAGATTTGGTGGGCAATTTGCCCATGCCAAGAAGAAGTTATGCCTTTCAACTGTTTCTGGCTGATGTACTTGTGTCAGTTTTCAGTAAAGAAATGAGGGTTATTCATGTTCCCCCTCCCCTCAGAAAGCCTGAGCAAATAGTCTCCCCACTCAATGAAAAACCACTGAAGTGGTTGAATTTACAGCTCAAATTCAGGAGATAATGGATGTTCCTAGGCATTGACATTATTTCATAAACACATTGACCTACTAGTAAATTTCCCAAAGGCATCTTGTTGCCAACTACATAATAGCACAGGATAGGGTTTTTCTTTTAGCCACAATAATACAGGAAGTTAAGATACACATTCTAACACACAATAGATCCCCCAAATACCACAAAAAGTCTTCAAAAATATCACCAGTGCAACTACTCCCACCCCAACTTAAAAAAACCCAAAACAAAACCAAGAAAGGTATTATATTATCCAGAGTTTTTTTCTTTAAAAAAAAGCTCACTTGTGTAGGATTTTCAACTGGAATTTGTTATAAAAGAGTAAACATAGTTAATACATATTTAGTTGGTCTCTGTTGATAGAAATATGCAGATATTTCTGTCATTAGTAAAAGACATAGAGTCACTTATAAAAGCACCTGGAGTGCAGTAAATAAAAACAGTGGGGTTAAGGAACACTGTTTTTGTTGTTTCTTTCCAGATATTGGCAAAAGTTGATTTTTCTGCATTTTCCAACTCCCCCAAGAGCCCAATTCTTCTATATGTATTTTAAAGTGTTGACATCCTGGCCACTCTGGTGGCTTCATAGTAAAGCACTTATTCTCTGATGATTTTCTCACACAGTCGACTCTGGCAGAAGCAGAGTCTATCTCCTGACACAGACTTAGAAATCTTTTAGAATTAATGAACAGCATGTTGAGCCTAAAGGAAGTTGCTTCAGAAAGCCCACACTGAATTTCTCTGATGTGCAACTTAGGATGGGTTAAGGCAAGTATGTACTATTCCAGCCTTTAGGGCAAACAACTTGCTGCCTATTGACTTCTTGTTTCAAGGTCATCACAGTATCTTTAGTGTTTATTAAGAAGACACGGCTCCAGACAGAGTACAAAAGAACCTCAGAAAGAACCAAGTGGAGGAGACAGGAGGAAAGGGGAAGAAAGTAGATAGCAGCCAGAAGATGGCACCACTGCTTCTCTGTTTGAACCTTCTGTATGTGAATTGGGAGATTCCAGGATGAGCGAGAAGGAATCTTGTGCACTCTTCTCTGGGCTTGTTAGAAAGAGATGCTTCGGACTCCAAGTATGCCTGGTCCTGTATGTACTGAAACAGAAAAAGTTGGGACTTCTTTCACTCTTTGCAACCCATAGGAGGTCATGCTGGAATAAGTCCTTGGACAGGTCCTTCCACTCAACCACATGCTTTACTCATGTCACTTTGACCTAAAAGAGAAAAGTTAAAAAGGCAATGATTCTTTGTCAGAAAAGAAGCTGAACTGCACTTCTTCACTTAGAATTTCTCCCACCCACAACATGTTTAAGGGGACATAGTGTTTAGATGAATTTTTGTGCATTTTCATCTTCAGAGTGCAGTCCTTCAACTGCTCCTGAAATGACAGCAGTCTTGCCACCAACGATGAAGAGAAGAAGATTGGATTTATACCCCGCCCTTCACTACCCAAAGGTGTCTCAGAGCGGCTTGCAAACTCCTTTCCCTTCCCCTCCCCACAACAGACACCCTGTGTGGCACGTGGGTCTGAGAGAGCTCTGACAGAAACTGCTCTTTTTCAAGGACAGCTCTTATCAGAACTACGGCTTGCCCAAGGTCATCCAGCAGGTGCAAGTGGAGGAGTGGGGAATCAAGCCCGGTTCTCCCAGATTAGAGTCCGCGCACTTAAACACTACACCAGAGTATGACGAGTGGGGGGAAAGGTGCCGTTTCTGATCTGGATCCTTCCTTGTCCCGTTTATGCTTTTGCCTAACACACCATTAGCACTGTTATGGACTGATCACCCTCAGCACTGATACATGGGAAGGAAAGGAAGAAAGCGAGTGTCCATATTCACTCCTGAAACTTCCTATTCACCAGTGGAAGTTCTCGGGTTCCAATTCATCCTCTAGGGTCTAGGGTTGCTCAGGCTCTTGTGGCTCACAGGGCTGTGATATGCAGATACTTGATCTCAGTTTTAGGGAAACTGCATTCTATTGTTGCCATTCGGAGCTCATGCAAACATAATAAAGAAATAAGGCAAATTGCACCAGCTCCCTGGCACTAGAGATGGCAGGGCATCCAGGAATGACAGAATCCTTAGAATCATAGAATCACAGAGTTGGAAGGGGCCATACAGGTCATCTAGTCCAACCCCCTGCTCAATGCAGGGTCAGCCTAGAGCTTCCCTGACAAGCGTTTGTCCAGCCACTGACACACTCTTCTGGAGCAATTCTTCCAATGCATTAGGCATCGGATATTATATTTTTTGCCTCTTATTTTCTCAACAAAAATGTTTATTGTGAAGAACATAAGAGACTGGCACTGTAGTCTTTACTTCCTTATTTCAATGTCCCTACACTTAATAAGGAGCTGCAGTGGCTCAAGTGGTTAAGACGCCGAACTGCAGGCTGTGGAAGGTCAGTAGTTCAGGAGTTCGAGACCCGGGTGCCGCAAGACGGAGTGAGCTCCCGTCTCTAGTTCCAGCTCCTGCCAACCTAGCAGTTCGAAAGCAAGAAATTGCAAGTAGATAAATAGGTACCACTTCTGTGGGAAGGTAACAGCGTTCCGTGCGCCTTGGTGTTTAGTCATGCGGGCCACATGACCACGGAAACATCTTTGGACAGCGCTGGCTCTTCGGCTTTGAAACGGAGATGAGCACTGCAACCCTAGAGTCGGACTCGACTGGCTTTCAAGCAAGGGAACCTTTACCTTTACCTTTACCCTTAATAAGATTCCCTATGGTAGAAAGACACTCAGGCAGTGCAGAGGCTTACTCTACAATTCTAACATTGTTATTGATATTCACTTTTAATAATCCAACATCATGAGATTACTGATGGGGTTCAGTTACTCTTTCTACTCGCAATTCCATTAAAAAACCATAGCCAAGCACATCAAGGGCAATGGGATGAGAATGGGCAGCAATATTGCCACTCATCAAACCACTTCTTAGGCACCAGTACAGCTAATAGTTTATTATGAATCAGCACATAGCAGTTTTGTTTGAAGCTGGGAAGTAAATTCTCTTGAGTTCTCCTTTTTATTTGAGGGGAGGAATAACCCCCCCAGTTATTAAGCCTTAGAGTCCCAGAAATTTCATTTCAAGTGTGAAAGTTAGCTCAGACAACAGCCATTGTTTCCCCATGTCAATGTTCAGAGCTCCAGGAGTGGGAGGATACTGAGATCTTACTTCTCCTCCACATGTAACTGTCACACTCTAGAGGAGGGGAGGGGAACAGATTGGGAGAGGCAGCTTTCCTTCTCTTGGCCTTATATCTGCCTGAGCATCATCAGTGGTAGCCACAGCAACTGCAGCCTCCATCAGAGGGGCTTGGAAGGTGATAGAGAAGTGGCTGGGGAGGGGCTTATGCCAGAAACTGGCATTTTCCAAGTGGTATCAGAGACCTCTTTTGCAATGTAAATTTTCCAGGCTTTTCCTTAATTCAGCTTGGGGAAGTCTGTTCATGACTATAATTGAAATAGCCTTATAAAGAAGTGGGATGGTGCACTGAGTGCTCTCCATGTGGTGAGAAGTGGTGGTACGAAAAGGAACAGCCAATTGGTGCTACCCGTGTAGCTCTTTTGTCTGTGTTGATACTCAGCAGTTCTTCCAGCAGGTTAGGAGAAGCTGCACGGTAAGCTCAAGGTACCATGTGTTCAAAAAAGAAAGCACAATCCCTTTGGCAACATTGTACCCTTTCAGGCATTTCCAGATTTGCTCTAAAATGCTAATTTCCTCTGTAAACATCCCTCCCTATGTTACTACTGTGGGGTTAAGACGCTTTCCAAACCTACATGTTAAAAAAAACCCCACACCCTGTATGGCATTTTAAAATAATTTTAATGTTTCAGTGTTAATTTTTCTCTCTCTTCTAAACAATGTCATATGGGAAAATTAGGCTAAAATAATAATAAATGAATGCAAGAAAAAGGACTTGGTGGAGCTTTGCTGGAACTGTACGACTTCAGACAACAGGTGGGAGGATTATCTAAATCAAAAAAGAGTTTTTGCCCTTTCTGGCAGGATAGTTTTAAAACATACAATCTTCTTGTTTGCCTCGCCCCCAACTTCGTAATACGCTGCTGGGGCAAAGTCCTGGGAGGGTTATGCCATGTGCTTCTTCCCACTTTAAGTGCTAAAGAGTTTTGATATGGCAATGGCCCTTTTGGTGCATTAGTAGAAGCATCAAGCCACATATTCATTTCATTTTTGCATGTGCTAAAATCTTCTACCTGTTGGTGAGAAACGGACTGGGAACCAACAAGAAGGAAAGCAACCCAGAATTCTTAATGTTCCTCCTGTGTTTCCTTGTGTTCAAGCTACAATCTTAAAAATTTATATTGACTTCTTTTGCCCTACAGCTTCAACTTTCTTCCCAGCCGGTTTTAGTAAGCTCTGTAAATGCAATCAGCCACTCTTGAAGCCGAGGACATAAAGAGAATGAGATAATATCTCAGCTAGAAGGCTCCATATGTTGATGGCAAGGTATAGTTTATGAAGGAAGAAATGGGATTAGAATTGCTCCAAGTACCTAGGAGCTAAAAACAGTGAGTGGAAGAAATAACATTTTGCAAGTGTACAACACTTTGACAAAAGTGAAAAGAAAGATTTCTTTGGGCAAATACAGGCGAGAAACTGTTTTGGTCCATGTTTCACAAGTCTGGTACCTGAGCATCATCACAAGATCTGTATTTTATACACTCTTCTGACTTGTGGAAGTACATTAAGGGCAATACAAATAATATGGCCTTCAGCATGGAAGCTCCTGAAAAAAAGGATCTTGCATACAAAGTCTTTTTTTTTTTAAAAAAAAAGAGTGGCTATGGCTCAGTGGTAGAGCACTTGATTGCATGCCAAAAGGTCTCACATTCATCTCCCATATATTCCTGCCAGAATGCCACACACATCTCAGGCCTTGTTCCATGTCCCTGACCTTTAGAGGTGCAGTCAGTGCCCACTGAGGATACAGCTGGCTCCCCAATGATAGAATATCCTTTCCCTGGCCAGTCTATTTGGTGCTGTTGCTGAACATTTTCCAGTGACAGGCAAAAACCTTTTTAAAAAACCTGAGCAAGCTTTTAGTTGATTGATTGCCCTCTTTCGTTGGTGTTTTTGTGTTGTTATAGTTAATACTGTTTTGGATTAGAGGGTTTTTATGATTATTATAAATTTTAGACAAGTTTATGATTAGTTTTATTCAAATACTTTTGTTCAACTGGTTTGTCTTTCGATGTGTTGTAAGCATACGTTTAAATGGATGGAAAAATAGACAGCAAAGTTCAGATTCCTGCTTTCTTTAATAAAGGTCTTATTTCGCTTGGTGATGGGATAGTCATCACCAACGAAGTTTTCATATTACTTTTTTCTATTATTTTTTTTAGTGTTTGTAGAAAATGATAAGGTTATGTCAAATAACAATTTTCTTTCCATGACAAACCCCTTCCCACCCCATTAAAACAAGTAACTACGCCAATTCCATCAAATATAAAATCCATTTACAATGTCTATATATTCAAGTTATTCATCTTTAGCTATCTTCTCTTCTTGTTGTAATAGTTTAATAGGCATCTTTGATGGTTATTTGAAAAGAAGAGAAAAAGAAGGAAGAAGAGGAGATTGGATTTATACCCTGCCCTTCACTACCCAAAGTAGTCTCAGAGCGGCTTTTTAACTCCTTTCCCTTCTCCTCCCCACAACAGACACCCTGTGAGGTAGGTGGGGCTGAGAGAGCTCTGACAGAAACTGCTCTGTTTCAAGAACAGCTGTGCCAGAACTATGGCTTGCCCAAGGTCATCCAGCAGGTGCAAGTGGAGGAGTGGGGAATCAAACCCGGTTCTCCCAGATTAGAGTCTGCACACTTAGCCACTCTTGGCATCTGAACAGATGAGTCTTCACATCATTGTGTTTAGTCAAAGTATTGTCTTCTCTTAATACACAATCCACTCATTAGAAGCCAAATTGAGCACTTTTGCCAACTATGTACAGATTTTACAGGGTCCTTAACCTTCCAAGCTCATACTTACTAGATGACTTACAAAGCCCACACTTTTGGCTTGTGAATTCCAAGGAACAAGAATACTCCATGGTGAAATCAATTTGTCTAGCCATTACTGACCAATTTTCTTTCAGGACTTCAACATGAATGAGTGGAATGAGCTATCACTTTTAGACTACCTTCTGTCCTGACTTCTAGACCTCAGCAGATACTGTTGTACACTGAAGCTTCACCATACAATTCAGTGGAAGCAGCAGTGAAAGTGTACTCATGTGCTGCAACCACCAAAAAGAACTGTAGAGCTCTGGTGTGCAGGAGGGCAGCACCATGCATGCATCAGAGCCTGCACAACCAGAGACACAAAAATCTCCAGATTAAGAACTTGTTTCTATATTAGTGAAGTTAAGATCACAACTGTTACATGCTTTAAAAAAAAAATTGGGTGACAATGGAAGCCGATATTTATCCTAAGTTAAAGTTGACTAGCCTAATAACGCTGTAATATCACAATCTACATATCAGTGCCATTAAGTCAAACATCATAGATGACAGCATTTTTTTTCGCAGAACAGAAAAATTAGCATCTTAATGTGTCTTGAATTTAAAATACCCATAAACACTGGCTATTTCAGACCATATTTCCTCTTAACAACTAGCATAGCACAAAATAATTTGGAAATTAAGTACTTACATGTACATGGGCTGTAGTTGTAAATGAGATGTCTTCTGAGGGCCTTGATAGCCGTAAGAGTCAAATCCTCCTATGAAATCAACTGAAAGAGGAGGAAATTGCTTTCATTGCTGAAATCATTCCCAGAAGAGACAAACTTTACCATTAGAAATAAAACAAAACCAAAAGCTTCTACAGACACTACACTGGGTAGACATACTGAAATGTGTATTAACATGCACACGACTGACAGTGCAATCCTATGCAGAGTTATGCCTTTCTAAGACCACTGAAGTAAAAATTATTCTTTATACGTGTGCTGGGTAATTCTCATGTTACATTAAACACAGGTACAGCTCAATGTGTGATTTAAAACCCACATTTATTTTGGTACTGGTCCCAAATTTCATTTGTATTTATTTGTATTTATTTATTAATTCAATTTATTTATTAATTCAATTTATTAATTCAATTTATTAAGCACCCTCCTCAGTGGGATGGGGCTCAGGGAAGTGTGCACAAAATCAATTAAAACATCATATAAAACAGTTTAACACCAGACTAAAATACCTCAGGTTAAACAGTAAGACAGATCAGGCTAAAACAGTACATCTTTTTTTTTTTTAAATAATTTTTATTGGTATATTACAATCTGAGTGTTTCCAGTCAAATACCTGTTATAAAACAGTACATCTAATTGACTGTAGATGATGCTAAGATCCTAACAGCACCGCTGTCTCATGAGGGAAGGGGCAAGGGAGAGGAAGATGGGAGTGCCAAGATGGGACCATCGCTGTCCTCAACCAAAGGCCTGGCGGAACATCTCTGCCTTGCATGCCCTGTGGAATTTTAGTATATCCCGCAGGTTGTGGATGTTACTCGGCAGAGAGTTCCACAAGGTTGGAGCCAGGGCAGAGAATAGCCTTGCTCTGGTTGACAGCTGGACATGTCTCGGGCAATGGACCACCAATAAGTTTTGATCTCCTGAGCACAGCACTCTTCTCGGGGTATACCAAGAGAGGCCGTCCTGAAGGTACATAGGTAAAGGGAACACATATTGACTTTCCTACAAACAGATGTACACATGTACATGCAAAATGTATATGTGTTAACTGTAATCTGTGAACAGGGTTGTAAAGTAATCCTAAACAGAATATACCTTTCTAAATCCATCAAAGTCAATGAGTTTAGAAGAGTGAAACTTTTTAGGATTACATAATGAATGCAAACCAAGCACAGCATTTCCAAGATTAGACACGGACTGGGTTTCATCTTCACAAACTGATAACCATTTACTGTACCCAGGGCTTTTTTTGTAGAAAAAGTCCAGCAAGAACTCATTAGCATAATAGACCACACCCAGCAGCAGAAACTCATTAGCATATTGAGCCACACCCCTGATTGCACCACTCATAAGCATATTAGGCTACACCCCCATGTTACCAGAAGTGTGGTCATCCAGCCACACCCACCTTTTGCTTCTTATTCTGTTTACCTTGTTTGTTGTCAAAACCCAGGGCTTTTTTTGTTGCAGGAACTCCTTTGCATGTTAGGCCACACACTCCTAATGTAGCCAATTCTAATGAGTTTCTACTGCTGGGTGTGGCCTGTTATGCTAATGAGTTCCTGCTGGGTGTGGCCAATTTGGGAGCCAGCCAGAACTCCGTTCCTGTGCGTTCCTGCCCAAAAATAGCCCTGACTGTACCTATAACCAGAAAGGAGAATTACATACTGTTCTTGTTGTTAATAGGTATAAACAACACATTTGTTGTAGGCTTTCCATACAGTAAAGCTATTCCTTTGCAGCCTGCATGTTACAACTGGTTACAGATTATTGTGTCATTTTTGCAGCTGAATTGTGGTTTTGTGAATAATAGGCCAAAGGACATCTGAAAGACTTACTCAGGCAATGCAAGGAACCTATTAGAGCAGACATGGCTCATTGTTGTATTTTATAAAGAATGCATAATTCCTTGGTCTTGCACATCTATTAGGAATGAGTACTAAGCTCCTTTCATGGCTACTTATATTAGTGATCATTTTAACATTCTTTGGCAATTAATTCCATAAGAACATAAGAAGAGCTCTTCTGGATCAAACCTATGATCCAGCGAATCAAGCATTGTGTTTCACCCTGTGGCCAACTAGTTGCCCTGGAGGGCCAACAAACTGGGCGCACAGGCAAATGCCTACCTATGATGCTACCTCCTAGTATTGGTATTCAGAGGTTTCCTACTTCTGCATATGGAAATTCACTTGAGTCACTATGGCTAGTAACATTTGATGAACCTGTCCTCCATGAATCTAATTCCCTCTTGAAGCCACCTATGCTCATGACCATCATTTTGGGTAGCTAGGCCCAGCCCAGCCTAGCAACCTGAAGGAAAATGTTGTGACAGTGTGATGACATTTCCAAGAAAAACCTGGAAATTACATTGTGCCTCTCAATGAATCACCAGAAACTCTACGATAAAACTATAGATTTTTTTTGGCAATTCCTAGAGAGAACTTGATGTCATTTCCAGTGGAAACCTGGAAGTGACATCAGTCTTCTCTAGGAACCATGAAAAATTGTATGGTTTTATCACAGATTCCTGGTGATTCCAAGAGAGGTGCAAAGTCATTTCCAGGTTTTCCCCAGAAGTGAGATTGTACCATTAGCTCAACAGTCATTTTAATTTTTTTATCTCGCTGCAACTTGAAGCAGTGGCAGGAAATGATAGGCATACACAGAGGTCATTTTGGGGGGGAACGTGGGGGAATGCAGTTCCCCCGGGTGAGGTGCAGGGGGGCGGGGCACATGATGAAGCCCCGCCCCCTGCTTCCGGCCGCCCCGCCTCCAGGCCTCATTCAGCCAGGAGGAGGCAGGAGAAGAGGGAGGGTAAGTTGCTTCCTCCCCGCCTCTCCCCACCCCTGCCTGCCTGGGGCCAGGGAGGGCCTTTGCGGGGCTTCCTCGCACTCCCGCTGGCCTTGCACGTCCACCGCCGAGCCCCTGATGTCAGGGAGTGTGGATATGCTAATGAGTTATGCTAATGAGTTCCCCTAGCTCTTTTTCTACGAAATGACCCCTGGGCATACATGAGGAATCTCTTTCACTCACTGGAGGACTGGCAACCCTACCATCACTATGTCTCTAGGCATGAATTCCATGATTAAAAGACTCACTGAGCGAAGATATATTTCATCTGTCCTGAACATATTGCCCATCAACTCTATCAGGTGCCCCAAATATCTGGTATTTTGGGAGAGGGAGAAAAAGCCTCTCTATTCACTTTCTCCACAGAATGCATAATGTTATAGACTTTTATCATGTCCATCCTTAGTTGGTTTTTCCTTATAGCCAGGTGCTCCAACTCCTTAATCATTTTGGTTGTCCTCTGCTACTCTTCCATTCTTTATGTTTTTTCCCCAGACTGGCTTGTGGTCAATTTCTTCAGATTTTTCAACCCTGTGATACTCTGAATGAACACTGTATATAGCAAAGAGATCCCAGTATAATGGCACCCAGTGTCTCTAAACAGTAATGCACATTATATTTCCCCTCCTAACTAGTGTTTCCTAACTGGCTTTTTGGAATCTGTGTGGTGTCCAGATTGAGCTAAAAGTAATAAATCCCACCTCCCCACCCCCCTAAAAAATCCCATTCCAATTGCTGCCCTTTTAGCTGGGCTTTTTATCCTAGCTGTGCCTAAAAGGTCAGTAAAAGTGTCACACTGCTTCTAAGCCCTGACAGCATTAGCACTGAATGAATAAATAAAGTTTATTGACTGAATGACCACAGAAGCCGTACATCCTAAAGTGATTTATCAAACACACTTTAGTACATTTTCCTTTTTATCTTGTACATCAGCAGCAGCAGCATGACTGCTGTAGGTCCCTTAATTATGTTTCCCCTTCACAAACAAATCCAAAAGTACAGAGCCATAATCCCACTGACTGATGTGATACATAAAAGCTTTGATGCATTTCATTCAAGGATGTATAATCTTAAATCTCATGCAGCCTGATCTTGTGCATGATTACCCAGATACAAGTGCCACTAGTGTCAGTGAGACTTATTCCTCTGTGCACAGAATAGCACTTCCTCCTCTATTGACTGTCTTTCTCAAACACAGCAACCAGAAGGGGTCCTTCTAAGCTTCTGACAGAGGATAAAATATCTAATCTCTTCCAACTAGAGATCGTCGAGCGGAAGAAGAATGATATGATTGCAAAGATTGTTTAGTGATATGTTTTTTAATAAATATATTCCTTAATGTACTTGCAATAGTTTTATTCTTTAATATAAATTTTATTGAAAAAGTTATTTTTCAGAAGAACAATGATAAAATACCAAATACCATTGTGCCCTCCCCAAAAGCATAACACTGGGCTAATAACAGATCTGTAGATCAGAATCCTGTAATTGAAGCTTTAACAGTGTCCAGACGTCACCCAATGTGGCTGCCAATGGCCATTTTCAGTTAGGGCTGCCAAGTGGGGGCGGGTGGCGCGTAACCCCCCGCTTTGGAGGCCCGATTCCCGCCTCCGCGGAATCGGGTCCCGGGGGAACTCCACCCCCCAAAGCGCTGCGTGGCTGCGTCACCGGAGATGACTCAACCACGTCAATCACGTTGGGGGCGTGGCCCCGATCGTTGGAGGGGAAACTCTCTTGTTTTCCCTCCGACGATCGGGGCCATGCTTTCAACGTGATCGACGTCACGCGTCACTTCTGGTGACGTGCTGGTGGTGTGCGCGCACACACACACATCGATGGATGGCTCCTGGAGCCCAGCGAGGCTCCCCCGCCGGTAAGAAAAATTGACTTGGCAACCCTATTTTCAGTGCCCCTGTGTAAAAGGAGCAGGCCATGGTCCCAATACACCAAAGGGTCTGATTTTCCTGAAATAACACACATCATGGATTGTTAGTAGTTTTTTCCTTGTCTCCTTCCAGAGAACCATAAGTTGCCCCTAAAACTTTGAGGTGTATAAGGAATAAGGTTTAACAGTAGCTGCTGAAACACATACCAGTCAAGATGCAAGTTCATCTGGTCTGCACATATTTGGGATTTGCTATTCAATTTAGTTTCTAGAAATATTTGCTCTGATATTTTTCTCCACA